CCCGTGGCCTTGGTGTTATCAGCACCACACTCTCCCGAGTGAGCCACGGGCCGGCCTTGGTTCATTCCTTTTTCTTCCTGAGTAATATTTATCGTATGGGCATACTACAGTTCATTTATCCTTTCTACCTTGATAAGCCTCAATATCTCTTCAATCCGTCCTCTTTCCTTCAGCCCTTTGGCCCCTGCCCTGGCCCCGGCCTCTCCACTTTACATCCAGGTCTGCGCCCCAGCCTCCTTCTTGTTCTTTGGCCTATGGTCTGACCCCCTCTCATTCACTCTCTACATGGCTTCCAGAGGAATCTTTATAAGGCACATACTGTGTTCCTGTCCTGCTCAAAACTCTTCCTTGGCTCCCCGGTGCTCCCTGGAGAGTGCCCGAGCTTCTTTAATGACTTTCAGTCTTGGTTTTATGTCACCCCATCCACTGTTCCCCCATCACCTCCCACCTGCTCTCTTTACACTCCAGGCTGAACCACAGTCTACTTGTCAGTCCCCTCAATGTGCCATGTCCTCTTCTGCCTCCAAGCTGTTGTATTCTCTTCCCTGTGCCCACAACACTTTTCCCTAGCCCTCTCTTTACCTGCCTCACTCTAATTCAGCCTTCAAGTCACCATTCAGATGTCTCCTCAGGAAACCTTCTTGCCAACCCCACAAGCAGGTGAGGTGCCTCAACAGAGCTCCCACAGTCCCTGGCAGCTCAGACCACTCTACATTTTAAAATTAAAAGCCCTTACATTCCCCCTAAACTTCTAGGAACAAAACTTGTCTCTCCAGGCAAACAAGAACACATCCTTTTAGCGAAAATTGAAAACCATTTCACAAACACATTTCCCTTATTGCCCTAGCTGCCGGGAACCTCTAAGTGAAGCTTAATGCTGATCTAGGTCAAATGCCAGTTTTCCCCGGACACTGCAAGTCCTCAGATTGGCGATCTGCTCTGACTGCCTCATCCCAATATCAGTGAGTACTTCCTTTCCACTGAATCAACTCTCCACTCTCCTTCTCCAAACTCTTCCAACATGCCCTCTGGAACTCTCATCACCTGCTTAACAACCACGTCCCCTCCTCAGTTTCTTCCTTGAACATTTCTTCTGCTTCATGTTCTTACCTAAACCCTGATCAGTCTTAAGAACACTGCTTCCCCTGCAGCCCTTTCTCATTCAGGCCTCTCATTTTCTCACACCCACATGCCTCCACACTGAGGATTGAGAGGTAATTTCTCTGTTTATCAAGATTCTTTTAGGTGTAAGCAGCTGCAATCCACTCAAACTAATCTAAGCATAAAGTAAATGAATGAGCCAATATTTAGTAACAGTAGCAACAACCAAAACAACCACAGTGGTTTATGTGAAAGTCTGGGTATTAAATCGGAGTTCAGGTATTGCTGGACCCAGGCACCCACGTGCTGCTGGCAAGACTGCCTTTCACTGTCTTTCATTTCTGCTTTCCTCTGTATTGACCTTCCTCTCATAACGCTTTTTCTCACTTCATGGCAGTGTGAGTCCCATTGCTCCAGCTTGGCAATTCCAGCAGAAAAAGAAAATCTCTTTCCTGACAGCTGTAGCAAATGTCTTAGGGTTGGTTCTCACTGGGCTAGGTTAGGTCACATGCCTGGCCTGAACCAATCACTTTTTAAGAGACTAAACTAATAGTCTCTTTCCCTGGCTAGATCTGGATCCTATGTTCATCTCCAGAGTTGTGGAGTGCAGGGGTACAGGTAGCCCTATTCAAATTACATAGACTGAGAAGGATAGAAGTGGTTCCCCAAAAGAAAACCAAGTGGTGGGGTGGGGAGCCATGTGGATTTCTGAGGGAAGAGGGAACAGCAACTGCAAAGGCCCTGAGGTGGGACTTGCCTGGTAAGTTCAAGGACTAGCAAGGCCACTCCTGCTACAGACTTTTGCTACAGTATCCTCTTCCCTGCATCCAGAATATTCATCCTCCACGGTGTCCGTTAGCATGTGCCCCCACCCCCGTCCCACTGTAATCCTTCCTTATCCAGTAGTAATGCTTTCGCCTCTCCTTGGTGAGTTTGCACCTCTCCCTTCTTGCTTGACTGGTGGGAAGATACCATTTCTCCTTCCCTTTCTTTGGCAGCTGGCCGGTACAGGGATTGAATCCTAGACCTTGGTGTTGTCAGCACCATGCTCTGGCCAACTGAGCTAACCGGCCAGCCCACTCTCTGTTCTTTTTCAAAGTGAGCATGATTGAGTTAAAACATATTTACTTGACATAAGCTTAATTATTCATCAGTGGGAACCTGAACAGGGAGTTAGAGAGGCCAAGGGGTCAGGGTGAAGAAGAGGGGGGTGAGGGAGGTAGGCCTGGGGTCCAGAGGGTGCCAGACTGAAGAATGGGGGCAAGGTGGGGGTACCTGGACGGAGTCAGAAGGGAGCTGCTGGGGACGGAGAGGGAACTATGGGATCCGGAGGGCTAGATATTGTGGAAGCGGGTGGGGTTGGGAGTTGGGGGGTGAAGAGGGGAAGTGGGGAACTCAGTGGATAAAGAGGAGGGGATAGAGGAGGCAGGGCTCGGGAACTGAGAAAGCAGGGGTTGGGGGACTCGACGGGTGTGACTGGCGGTCGGAGGGGCCCAACTGGGGGTAGGCAATGGAGGGGTGAGACCGGTGGGGGTTAGAGGGTGAAGACGGGGGTGTAGGGAACGGAGTGCACTGAGTGAGTTCCGAAGAGTTTTGGCGTTCAGGGGCTGGGACGGGGAAGGCGCGGCCCGCTGACGGCGCGGGCGACACCGCTGGGGAGGTCCGCGCGAGGGGCGTGTCTGGGGGCGTGTTCCACCGTGTCCCCCAACTCCTCTCGGCTTGCCAAGTCTTCGCCTCTGGTTCTGCCTCCTTCTCGAGAGTGACAGACCCGTCCCCCAACCACAGCCGCGAGCCGGGCGCGGTGCAGCCAACGACGCGGGGGTGGGAGGAGCTGGGGAAGGGGCTAGTAGGTTCAGGGGAGGCGACAGGGGACCTCCAAGGGCTCGGGAGCGGCGACGGGCGAGCCATGGCGCTGGGGCTGCCGCGCGCAAGGTACTGGGGTTCGGGACAGGAATTATGGGAACTGGAGGGGCTCTCCTGGAGACCCCTGGGCTGGGTGGCGGGGTACGCGTCACAGCCAAGGACGCCCTAGGGTGTGAGGTTGGAGGCACGTCCCCGCCGCACCCTCCAGGCTGCAGGATTAGAGATCCCCACGTCCCAGGCTGCCCCGCCCCTCTCGCCAGGAGTGGCTTCGGGGTCGTGGTCTCCGATTTCCTGCTACCCCGGGTGCGCTTCCCCTCCTGGTTGCGGGTGAAACTCGGGGTCCCTACGGAACTGGGGGTGGTTGCATTTGACCGGTCCCCTGGTATTCTCCCTCCCTATCTTGATCCCTCTGGCCTCTGAACCCGCAGAGTGAAGTTGTTCATCAGATCCCTGGGATTCTAGGAGATATGGAGTACCCCCAAATTAAGCCTTTCCAGATATAGGGAGTCCCTTGGAAGGGGATTCAACTCCTGAGCTCAAGAGAAGAGACATCCTCTTTGATTGGACCCTTTCTGACACCCTCTCCCAAACCTTGGGTTTTCCTAGAAATGGACAGAGGGGGTCCCCTTTCAGAAGCTGCCTGGGCCCCTTCCCAGGGGCCTCTTTGTGTCTTTTTAGAAGCTAGGGTCACCCCCTTAAATAACATGGAAACAAGCTTGACCCACTTTCCAAAGTCTGGCCCTTTATCTCACTCCTCCACCCCCACCCAGTCCCTGTTACTGAGGAACAGGGGGGTCCCACCCAAGCCTTATTTGAGGGAGACCCCATGGGAGATTCTGTGCCTGATTCAGTGTGAGACCCTGGGAACCGTGATGGGAGTGCCGCCTGCCACAGTGTTCAGCTGGGGTCATCCTGGGCAGGAGGTGGGTTTCTGTGTTCAGGTTCCAGCAGGTGCAGATCTACTGGGGCAGAGGGGAACCTGTGCTCTGGGACCACAGCCAAGGGGTCCTATTTGGCCATGTTCTCATGGGACCCTGGAAAATGTCCCAGGTCCTTAGTTTTTCCTGTTCAGTCTGAGGCATCCAGCAAGCCTCACACCCTTCCCTCCTCCCTGGCTTTGCACACAGGTCTTATTGGACTGTCCACACCCCCATGTTTTTTACACCCCTCCCTGCCAGGTTCACACCACCCCCCTTCCCATTCTATTCCAGTCCCTGGCTCTGGTCTGGTGAGGGAACTCCTTCCATCCCTTCTAGGCCAGCCCGGACCCTGCCTTTCCCAGCACCCCCTCCTGGCTGGGTGGGGGCCCCTTGGCTGAGCTGGGGTACTCTCCCCTCCCCACCCAAGGCCAGCCCTTTCCCGTGGTGTCATCTGCCACTGCATGCCACCCACTCATAACTCACACCTGGATCCTGGCCACGCTCTGTCCCCCCCTGTGTCCCCAGGATGACACTTCATCCAAAGGGGTACTGGGTTATGGTGAGTGGGCCCCCCACACCCCCTTGCCCCTTCCCTTCTTCCAGCTCAGGCTTGCTGCCATCCTCCTTGGACAGGGATATTCTTGGGAAGTCCCTAATGGGCACACTGCCCTGAGTGCCCACCCGAGGTTGAGGGTTTCCAGAGAAGATAGGACTTTGCAGACCAGCACCCCACCTGATTATCATGTCCTTAGGATGAGTAGAGTCAGGGTCAGAAATTCCCCCCGACCCCCATCCCAAGTCTCTTGTCAAAACCAAACCCTGCCTCTGGACTCTTAGGCCACCTTTAGGCAGTGCCAAGAGGGGTCCCTGCCCAGATACAACCTAAGCCCCTGGTCCCTAATTCCCTACACCTTTTGCAAGACCCCCAATACCCAGCTGCATGTCAGAAGAGAGAAGCCCAGAAGCAGCCCCGAACATGGGGCAGGTTCTCCCTACTTTCATCATGCCTTTCCTGGAGGGTGGCAAGTTCTTCCAGGCAGAGAAGAGGTTGACTTCTCTCTCTCCTGGTTGGGAGGGTGCCAGGCCCCAGCCCCCATTCCCAGGCCTCACTCTGGGGCCTCCAGGCCCTGGCCCCGCCCCTGTTCTCAGCTGGAACACAGAGGACGGGTGGCAAGCTTCCAGCTGCACGTCCCAAGCTAGGCAGAGTGCCAAGGGGCTGGACCAGGGCTGGGCATGGGGCCAGCTGGGGCGATCCAGAGGCAGCAGCAGTGGGACAGGGGGAAGGGACTGAAGCCACTAGGCAAAAGAGGGGCAGGGCAGGGGCCCTTTGGGTGGTGGGGCACACCCACCAAGGCATGGCATTTAAGAGCATATGCCCCAAAGTCAGGGTTCAAATCCCAGCTCACCCACTTCTTGGCTGTGTGGCCTTGTGCTGCCTCTCTGTGCCTCAGTTTAATATCCTGGGAAATGGGGGTCATACCTCCCCTACCCCATCCCAGATCAGATCTGGGGGACAAGGGTCACCTAATAGGTGTGCAATATACTGAGATCTAGTCAGAGTTCTGGGTGGAAGTAGACAGATTTGGCTTGAATCTGGCTCTGCTATGAAAGACTGTGTGGACTCAGGCAAATTTCATCACCTCCCTGGGCCGGCTTTCTCATCTGGAAAATGGGGAAGGAAATAGCAGGTATGTGGTCAGATTGACTGAGAAGTGGTTAAGCATAGCCGAGCGCTGATGAAGGGCGCTGGGATTACCACCTACCTGGGTTAGTTGGGCTGGGGATGCCCTCACTCCAAGCCTCAGTTTCTGCCTCTGCAAAAGGGAGATCACTTTTCCTGCTCCACAGGATTGCTATAAAGATTTAATGGGGTCTCTAGCTCCACAAGTGCTCAATCCACCAAAGCTATCATTACTATCGCTATTTAGTTCTCTTCCCAAGGTGCCTGTGTAAAAGCCATGTATGTAATTGCACATACATGCCACACCAGGGGGTTACCACCGAAGCCCACGTGTTTCTCCATTGCCCAAGAGGCTCCTAGAGGCTGAGGCTTCCCTCCCTGATGTGGACAAAGGAGAATGATCAGTTTAACCTTTATATAGCAATTACCAAATGTCAGGCCCTGTTTTCTAAGCCCCAAGCCTAACTCATTGAATCTTCAAAACAACCCTTTGAGATAGGCGCTGTTACTATGCTCAGGGTGGCTGTGCAACTTGTCCAAAGTCACACAGCTAATAAGTAATGCAGTTGGGATTGGAACCCTGGACCGGGGAAACTAGCCCCCACTCGGTATAACCAGAAAGGCCAAAACCCAGTGGGGGCCCACACTTCCCATTAGAACATCCGGAGAACAGGCTGGGAGCTGAGAGGAGGGTCCCTCTGCAGCCACCAGCTGGCTCCTTCTGTGGAAGAAGAAGCTCTGCCACAGAGAGGATTACAGAGCCCAGCTGCCTGGGAGGGGGGGCGCTGGCCCCACCCCATTCCTGTTCCCACTCCCTGTTCCCTCTGTCCAGGGGCCCCCAGCTCAGTGAGGCCCGCCCACCCCCACTCTATAGGCAGGAAGACAAACAGGGCTGGAACAGAACAGAACGGAATGTCCTCTCCGGTAGGCAGGACTGAGGCCCTTGCCCCCTCCAGCCAGGAGGGAAAGGAGGGATGACATCTTACCCCCTCCAATCCTCCATCCAGCCTGCCCCTTTCTGTGCCTCCCACCCTATTGCACTGAGGGCTTTTTTTTTTCCCCTCTGTAGCCAGACAGGAAAATCTCTTCTTCTCTTCTCCTCTTGCCTGGGGGGTGGTGCTGCAGGTCTTGTGCCTGGGGGTGGGCTTGAGGGCATCTCAAAAGTGGCCTCTCCCTCCCTGAATTTAGGAAGAGACAGTCTCCCTTCCTAGAGGATCTACTTCTCTGGCTGGGTCACAAAGAGGGGATTAGAGAAAAAACTGAAGGCTCTGGAACCTCACCTCCCGATTTCAAATCTCAACCCTGCCAGTTACTGGCTTTGTGACTTCTTGGGCAAAAGACTTTACCTTTCAGAGCCTCAGTTTCCTCTTTGTAAAATGGAGGTTTAAAATGCCTCCCTCTCCGGACTGGCCCATTAGCTCACTTGATTAGAGTGTGGTGTTATAACACCAAGGTCAAGGGTTTGGATCTCCGTACTGGCCAGCTGCAAAAATAAATAAATAAAAAAATAAAAATAAAAATAAAAATGCCTCCTTCCTAGGACTCCCCTGAGAATAGAATGAGTACACACAGGCGGAATACATAGCACAATGTTAGACACATACATGCTTAGCAAATGACAGCTGCTTATTATGGTTTTATCAATATTATAAACATAGATAAGACCATATATACTATATACTATATAGAGTAGTCCCCCTTATCCTCGGAGGATATATTCCAACACCCCTAGTGGATGCCTGAAATGATGAATAGTACTAGACCCTACATATACTATATTTTTTTCCTGTACATACATACCTATGATAAAGTTTAATTTATAAAGTAGGCACAGTAAGAGATTAACAACAATAACTAATAAAATAGAACAATTATAGCAGTATGCCGGCATCAGTATTCTTGTGGCTTTGGGGCCATTGTTAAGTAAAATAAGATTACTTGAACACAAGCACTGCGATACCCTGCCAGTCGATCTAAAAACCAACACAGCTTGGGCCGGCCCGTGGCTCACTCGGGAGAGAGCAGTGCTGATAACACCAAGGCCACGGGTTCGGATCCCATATAGGGATGGTCAGTTAGCTCACTGGGTGAGCATGGTGCTGACCACACCAAGCCAAGGGTTGAGATCCCCTTACTGGTCATCTTTTTTTAAAAAAAAAAAAAAAAAAAAAAAACCAAGACAGCTCCTAAGTGACTAATGGGCAGGTAGCACATACCAGGTGGACATGCTGGACAAAGCGATGATTCACGCCCCTGGAGGGATGGAGTTAGATGGTGCAAAATTTCATCACGCTATTCAGAATGACGCACAATTTAAAACTTATGAATTATTTCTAGAATTTTCTATGTAATATTTTTGGGCTGCGGTTGACCGTGGGTAACTGAAACCTCACAAAGCAAAACCGTGCATAAGGTGGGGGTGGGGCTATCATACTATACTAGATATAATACACCCTATAATTTTTTATTCAAAAACGAAGTACAGGGGCCGGCCCGTGGCTCACGCGGGAGAGTGCGGTGCTGATAACACCAAGGCCACGGGTTCGGATCCTATATAGGGATGGCCGGTTCGCTCACTGGTTGAGCGCGGTGCTGACAACACCAAGTCAAGGGTTAAGATCCCCTTACCGGTCATCTTTAAAAAAAAAAAAAGAGAGACTTTGGATTTGAAGACAGTGGCAGGAACAGAGGGAGGTGCTAAAACCTGGACATAAACTCAGGGCCATAGAGACAGAAAATTTAAGAGTCGAGGCAGACCAGTGTTCAAACCCTTGTTTCACTATTTATGGGCAAGCACTGCACCTCTCTGTGCCTCAGTTTCCTCCTCTGTTCAAAGGGCATACTGTTATTACCTTCCTTCTAGGGTTGTCTGACAGTTAAATGGGTCAGTGTAAGTTTCATGCATGGCACAGAGACTGACATAATGGTAAAAACTGGTTAAGTGGCAGATATTCCTGACAAAACAATACTCATTCTTCTACCTCCAACCCCACAGGCAAAATGCAGGCATTTGAAGTGGATTAAAGTGCAGGGGTGAGTGGTTAGCTGTTTGCTGGACAGAACAGGGGGTTGGTTTGCTGTGTCACCCTGGTGGGACCCTGCCCCTCTTAGGGCCCCTGTTGGTGGGTCGTTAGTCTTTGAGATCTATGCTCCAAGATTCTGAGGACTCAGCTCAGCTGAGAAGGGAAAAGGGCAGGGGGCCTGGAAGGCTGCAGGCATCTTCTTCATGCTCCCTCTTTCCTCTGGCCCCGGGCCAGCTTGGCCAGTCCCCTCCCAGCACGAGGTCTCTCTGTCCCCCAGGAGTCCCTAGCGGAGGAAATAAACTGCAGATAAGTCAGGGAGGGGACAGAGCGGCCCTAGGCACGCCTCAGAGTAAGGCGCCAGGAGGGCAGCATGGACTGGCTCAGGGACAGGTAAAATCCTGGGCTAGGAGGGGCTCCAGAGTGAAACCCTCCCAGGCCCAGAAAGCTCCGGGAACTCTCTGAGACCACAGAGCGAGGGCTGCACAGCCGGAGCCCTGCCCTCTGTGAGCCCAGACCCCTTGTGACAGGGCCCCACGTGCTCGTCCCGTCCACTTCTTTCGCTTCCGGGGACGCCACCAGTGAACGCTGCCCATGCTCGCAGGTCAAGCACGGAGCTGCGCAAGGAAAAGTCCCGGGACGCGGCCCGCAGCCGGCGCAGCCAGGAGACCGAGGTGCTGTACCAGCTGGCGCACACGCTGCCCTTCGCTCGTGGCGTCAGCGCCCACCTGGACAAGGCCTCCATCATGCGCCTCACCATCAGCTACTTGCGCATGCACCGCCTCTGCGCCGCAGGTGAGCCCCGCCCCCGGTTCGCTACATCCCGGGGACGCCCCGCCTCCGGGAAGCCTTATCCCGACAGGGTCCCGCCCCCGGGTCGCGTCTTCCCGGCGCATCCTCACCTTCCCGTAATCCGTTTCCTTGGCGAGGCCAGCCGGAGCCCAGTTCTTTTGGAAGTCCCGCCCCCTTCACATGTCTATCACTGTTAGGCCCCGCCCCTTGGAAGTCACTCTGGGGAAGCTCCGCCTCCTTAGAACTCCAAGTGAGGCCGGCTAACTCCCTATGGCTCCTCAAACTCTTAGTATTTGGTCCCCTAGGAGACTCCCTGATATGTTCCATTCCCTTATAGTAAGTACCCCCTGGGAGGCTCCGCCCCCCAATTTTTAATTACTTGAGAGTGCCTGTTCCCCTCCCCTCCACCCTACTTCTATGGCTTGTTCCCTTAGTAGCTATTCCATTGAATTTCCAGTTGGAATTCCACTCTGCAGGAAATTTTGTTACACACACACACACTCACACACACACACACACACTTTGGAATCCCAGGACCCTGAAAAGATTTTATTGTAGGGGAAATAGAGTCATCCTGTGGCAGGTTCTGCCCGTTAAGACTTCCCTGCCCCATAGAATTTTACTTCTCTGGGAGGCCTTTCCCCCTTAGAATTCTGTGCCCTTGGAGTCCCTGCTTCTTTAGAATTCTGCCCATCTGGAAGACCCTACACTCCAAGAATTCTGAACCCTGAGAGGCTTGGCTCCCCCCTACAATTCTGACTCCACCTAGACCCTGGCCCGCTAGAATTTTGACGCCTGGGAGTTTCAACCCCTTTAGAATTGTATTCTCTTGGGAGAACCCTTCTGCCTTAGAATGCCTTAGAATTCTGTTCCCCTGGGAGGCTCTGCTCCCAATTCCAGTGCTTGGTGGCCCTGCCCTCTTCCTTGGAACTCCAAGCTATTAGGGTGTGTCGTCACTCACCTGGGGGTACGTGTAAGTTCCTCTGAGTGAGGAAAGGCAGAGGGAGGCTAGCCAGGGTCGGCCCAAGGCTGACTAGAGATGCCCCCATCCTCCCTGCCCCGGGAACCAGGGGAGTGGAACCAGGTGGGAGCAGGGGGAGAACCACTGGATGCCTGCTACCTGAAGGCCCTGGAGGGCTTCGTCATGGTGCTCACCGCCGAGGGAGACATGGCTTACCTGTCGGAGAATGTCAGCAAACACCTGGGCCTCAGTCAGGTGAGAGGAGCTGCTTGCTCTGTGCCTGGCCCTGTGCTGGTGATGCTGGGGGACAGTCTTAGCCCTGCCTTTATAGGACTCTAGTACAGAGGGGAACTAGGAATGTCACCAGACAGGAAAACTCAGAATAGTTAGGGCTGGGATCGGACAGCTTAGGGGGCTGTGGGAGCCTGGAATTGGGGGGAGGGAGGGGGTGTACCTGACCCAGCCGTGGGGGGAATCAAGGGCTTCCTGGAGGAAAGGACATCTGAGCTGAAACCTGAAAGCTTTAGCCAGTCAGAGGTCTATGAGGAATGGATGGGACCAGTGAAGACTGGGAATGTACATTGCAAGGGGAACAGAGCATGCAAAGGCCCGGAGGTGAGATAAAACAGCACTTTGGGGAAATAAAGAAGTGTATCCTGGCTAGGTGCAGACTGTAATGGAAGAAAAGACTAGAGAGGTTGGGAGGGGCTAGATGATGTAGGGCCAAATTAGAAGGTTTATCTCCAGGGCACTGGGGAGCCATGGAAGGATTTTAAGGAGGGAACAAGTTATGCCGGAAGAGGTAGAATCGGATTTACATTTTAGAAAGATCCCTCTGGTACTACAGGGAGATAGAGTTGGAGACTAGAGGTTAGGAGATCAGCAAGGCGTGGATGCCAATCTCAGATGGAAGAAAAGGAGTAGGGGCAGGGCCATGGGGAGGGGAAGATAGAAACAAGAGACATTTAGGAAGCAGAACTAATTTTTTTTTTTTAAAAGATGACCGGTAAGGGGATCTTAACCCTTGACTCGGTGTTGTCAGCACCACGCTCAGCCAGTGAGTGAACCGGCCATCCCCACGTGGGATCCGAACCCGGGGCCTTGGTGTTATCAACACCACACTCTCCCGAGTGAGCCACGGGCCGGCCCAGAACTAATTTTAAAGATCAATTTTAGTGAACCCTTACAGCAAGCCCCATGAGAGAGTTCCCATTCTTTTTTCTATTACACATTAATGGGCTCCATAGATGGTATCTGTTCCTTCTCCCTCTCTTCTTATTACCCCACTCCTAATTTATTAGTGTGAGCTCTTGGACTCAGAGAAATGAATGTCCCAAGGTCCCAAAGCTAGGAAGTGGTGGAGCCAGGATCCCATTCCAGCTACAAGAGGTGCTGTCCCAGGAGAGAGATCTCAGTTTTCCCCCTATTCACCATCGCCAGCCGTGCTCATGTTGTGAGCCAATGTGGGTCGCCTTTCATCCGTGTCTCCTCCTCCCAGCACCAGGCTCATTTCCTAGACTGAACTCAGGAGTTGGGGCTTTAGCTTGGTAAACAGGCGTGAGTTGAATGGGGTCTCATCTCAAGGCCTTTGCACTTGCCCATCTTTCTGGAACACTCTTATTCCAGGGAGCCACAAGGCCACCTCCCTTGCTTTGTTCAGCAATTTTTTAACACGTCACCTCACAAAGCCTGCCCAAGACCACTGTGTCTAAATTGCATCTCATCATCTCATCACCTTACCCTGCTTCAGCTTTCTTCGTGTCACTTATTACTTTATTATTATATGTTGTTTTGTTGTGTTGTTTGGTTTTTGTCTGTCTCTCCCTACTAGCCAGTAGTAAGCTTTGCAGGGCAGGGATTTGTCTGTGTGATCTCTGATGTGTCCTTACAGTTTAGAAGAGGGCTTGGCAAATAGTAGGTATTGAGTAAATGGCTGCTCAGCGAATGAATGAACAAATGAGTGAGAAGTCCAGGCTGTTGAGTTGGGGCAGGGTTGAGCTGAGGATGGGAAGTAGAGGATGGGCCAGAGGCCCTGGTAAACATACTTTCCCCGCACGACACCCACTCCGCTCCCCTTCCTGGCAGCTGGAGCTCATCGGACACAGTATCTTTGATTTCATTCATCCCTGTGACCAAGAGGAGCTTCAGGATGCCCTGACCCCCCAACAGAGTGAGTTTCCTTGGAGGTGTCTGTCCCACTTTACAGAGGAGAAAATCGAGGATCCACCCCTCCTTTAGCATATTCCCTCCTCCTCTAACACCGGAATGAGAGAAATGTGACAAGGGGGACACAGCCCTGCCCTGGGGATGCAAGGAGACAAGGACCTGCTCTAGGGGTCCCAAAGGGGCACATCCTACCCTTAGGGGACCCTCTCTGGTTCCAGGTCCCAATTTGGGGGATGAGGCTAGGGAGACTTTAGCAGCCAGGGTGCTGGAGGGAACTGGGCCCTGCCTGAAACTGCCTGCTGACCTGCCTCCCACCCGTGGCCCTCCCCAGGCCTGTCCAAGAAGAAACCAGAGGCCCCCACTGGACGGTGCTTCTCCTTGCGCATGAAGAGCACCCTCACCAGCCGCGGACGCACCCTCAACCTCAAGGCGGCCACCTGGAAGGTGAGCAGGCCCTGAGCCCCTAAAGATCTTGTAGGGGGTTGGAGTCTAGGGGTTCCTTGGGCTGGGGATCCTGCGGGTCTCTCTCAGGCTGGACTTCATGGGTGTTAGGGCATCTAGGAGGTTGGGTGTCTGTGGAGTTGGGGTCTGGGGATCCTTGTAAACTTTTTTAGGCTGGATCTCTGTGAGTCTGGGACTGGGGTTCCTCAGGCCCCAGGGGTTGGAACGTGGGGGTCTTCAGAGCTCTCTGAGCTGAGTCTCTGTAGTCCTCAGGGATTTCTTCTTCTCAGCTCCCTGTGGGGCCCACAGAGACCTTCCTCCTAGCCCCATGGGTAGCCCAAGGCCCAGATGCATCACTGCCTCATCACCCCCCTCCCCGCCCTGGCCCAGGTGCTGCACTGCTCTGGACATATGAAGGCCTATAAGCCCCCCGCAAAGACTTCCCCAGCTGGGAGCCCCAACTTGGAACCCCCTTTTCAATGCCTGGTGCTCATCTGTGAAGCCATCCCCCACCCAGGCAGCCTGGAGCCCCCACTGGGCCGGGGGGCCTTTCTCAGCCGCCACAGCCTGGATATGAAGTTCACTTACTGCGATGAGAGGTGGGCAGGGGCCCCGCTGCGCACCCAGCTCTTCCTCTTCCCTTCTGCACAAGTCCACTCGCTCTGCCTCGCCTCCCGCCCTCCCACCCCCATGTTCCCCTCTTTCTCTCTCTTCTGTTTCCGTCTCTCTCTGACTCTGTCTCTCTCTCTTCGTGTGTCTCTGAACTTTCTGTGGGTCTTTTGATCTTTGACTCACGCTGTGTCTCTTTCTGTTAGTCTGTCTCCTAGTGTCTCTCTCCCTGACCAACTGTTGCTTTTCATAAATGAGGCAATTTGTGTAAAGCAGTCAGTGCAGTGCACAGCACACAGGAAGCACTCAATAAACTGACATTATTAATTCTCCCTCTATCCTTACTTTTCTCTTTTTCTCTCTCCCTCTCTTCTCTCTGTCCGTCTTTCCCTTCCTGCCTCTCTCTTCTGTCTTTCCCTTGCCCTGGAGTCATGCTTAGGAATGGTGACTCTGGATTCAGACTGCTTGGGTTTAAGTCTGGGCTGTGTGTCCTTGGCCAAATGACTTCACCTCTCTGTGCCAGTTTCCTCATCTGTCCTGTGGCATCATAAAACCTACCTTGTACATAGAACATTAATCGTACAGTCGTTCCAAGCACTCGATGAGTTGCCTGGTGAAGAGCTTAAGAGGAGTGTCTGTTTTTAATCATCATCATTATTACTTTTTATTTCTTTTCATTCTTTCTTCTCTTTCTTTTTGTCATTTTCTTTCTTCCGCCTCTCCTATGTCTTTCACTTTCTCTTTTTTCTTCTTTTTTCCTTGCTCTTTCCTTTTCCACTCTCTCTCCCTTTATGTTAGTTTTCTATGGCTGCTGTAAAATTACTACGAACTCAGTGGCTCAAAACAACACAAATTCACTGTCTCACCATTCTGGAGGTCAGAGGTTCTGAATGAGTGGTACAGGGCCAAAATCAAGGGCTGTGTTCTTTCCAGAGGCCCCGGGGAGAATCTGTTTCCTTGCCTTTCTCAGCTCCTCGAGGCCACCAGCATTCCTTGGCTGTGGCCCCTTCCACCACCTTCAGAGCACATCACTTCAGCCTCTGTGTTCATCACTACAACTCCTTTTCTTACACTAACCCTCCTGCCTCCTTCTTATAAGGACCTCCATGATCCTATTGTGCCCACCCAGATGATCCAGGATCATCTCCCCATCTCAGGATCCTTAACTTCATCACATCTGTGAAGTTCCTTGTAAGATACCGTATTTACAGTTTCCGAGAATTAGGATGTGGACATCTTTGGAGGCCAGTATTTAGCCCACCATACTCCTCTGTTTCTATTTCTTACTCTTTCTCTCTCTTGTTTCTCTACATGTTTCTGGCTTTGTCCCTGTGTCCCCTTGCCCCTTCCCTCCACCCACCCTCCATCTGAGCCAGCTGGACCCTGACCAGGCCCTGCTTCACCCACCCCAGGATCGCAGAGGTTGCCGGCTACAGCCCTGATGACCTAATTGGCTGCTCCGCCTATGAGTACATCCATGCTCTGGACTCGGATGCAGTCAGCAGGAGCATCCACACCTGTATGCGTCCCAGTTCCCCAGGCCTGGAGCCCTCTGCTGCCTGATCCCCAGCTGACAGCAGTCCCCAAGTTTCCCATGCCCTAGGGAGGCTTACCCTGCCCACCCAACACCAGCTGCCTGCTCCCTGAGCCCCAAGGAACCTTCTTTTCCCCCTCATACCCAACTCCCAGCCCCCAGAACCTTCTCTCCCCAGTTGCCCCTTCTGTGGCCTTGACCCCTCCGTGTCCCCCTCCTCAGTGCTGAGCAAGGGCCAGGCAGTAACAGGGCAGTATCGCTTCCTAGCCCGGAGTGGTGGCTACCTGTGGACCCAGACCCAGGCTACAGTGGTGTCAGGAGGCCGGGGCCCCCAGCCGGAGAGTATCGTCTGCGTCCACTTCCTGATCAGGTAAGTGAGAGGGGCGTGGGGTGGGCTGCGTGTGCATGGACACGAGCATGCATGTGTATCGTGCATAAGTGTGTGCACCTGTACATGCATGTGGAACATCAGTGGACGTGGGAATACACACATGTGTATCTGCGTGCACACGTGCGTGTGTGTGGGTGTGTGTACCATTCACTTAAATTAAAAAGGGCTCTATATTCAAGTTAAAATAAGGAATGCAACAGAATCATAGGGTCTTTTTTTGCTTTTTAAAAATTGGGGTATAATTTACATACAGTAACTTCTCTTTTTAAAAAAATTTTTATTGAATCAAAATTGATTATATGTATTTTGGGGGCTCAACGTTGAGATATGTTGATCAAATCAATATTATTAGCATGCATATGTTACAAATCATACTTATTCTTTATGCCCCTTGTCCAATCTTAGCCCATCCCCCTGCCCATCCCCATTCCCCGCTCTAGTTACCCTAGATTTCTTCTCTCCTTCTGAGAGAGTAATGGTTACTCTGTGGATTTGTTGACTAGATGATCTGTCCAATGCTGAGAGTTGTTATCAGGTCCCCCAATATTATCATAGACCAGATGCTTCTCCTGTCACTCTGGAATGGGCTTTGTGGAGAGAAACATCCTCTTCTTTTCTTTATCTCTGCTGGTGACTCTCCTTGTGTCACTGCACTCCAGTGGCTGGCGGACCATCTGTGTGGTGGTTATGACATCTAGCCACTTTTGCTGCAGCCATGGTTATTGTGGTGGCTGTGGTGGGCCACCCACATGGAGGTGATGTTTTTGGCAGGCTCCTTGGCACTTGCAGTGTTCCTGGTTGTGGGTGGGGTCCGGTCCCCAGCTCCATCTATCGGGTCCCCAGGCAGATCCCAAGGTGCTGGCGTGGTGTACCAGGTTGTGTGAGGGGGGTCTGGTCCCTGGATCCATACCTCAGGTCCCCAGGCAGACCCCAAGGCAGTGTGCCTGGTTGTGGGAGGGGGCTCCGGTCCCCACTCCATGCCTCACATCCTTGGGCAGACCTGAGGTGCTGGTGGTATGTCTGAGCTGGAACTAATATTTTTGTCCTTTGCTTACTTCTAAAATGGGGGAAATTTCTGTTGGGACCAGTACTTGAGCTCTCTGTTTAGCAAAATTGCTGTTTTGCTGCTGCTTCCCTAGGGAATGCTTTTTGTGCAGCCAGGTTATAATGGTTGACTTTATAGGTACTTCCAGCTCTCCAGAGACACAGTGCATCTGGGTTGTGTAGTAACTCTGATCTGGGCCTGAGTCTTTTCATCAAACTCCACCCCATGCCATTCTATATTCATGACCAATCTCCTCTGAGTGGTCCTATGCTGATTGGGGTGCAGGTCAGCTGTCCTTGCTGTGTCCCTGTGTTCCCCCAGTGGGCCCGTCTCCCCCACCACCTGTGCTACAAACACTTCCTATGGGATGGGCTGTGCACCAGTCCCTTGTGATGACTCACCAGCCTCTGAGTGGCTCCATTTTTTCAGTTGTTGTGGCTCCTCACTCCTATGTGGGTCCACGGGAACCCTATTAGTGGTCTTGCTGTCCTGGGGGCCACCAAGGCCCTCTTCTCCCCTGCTGCCTCCACAAGCAACTCCATTCGAAGGGCACAACTGCGGCTTTTGCCAGCTCCTGCTCCATGTGCTCAGCAGTTCCAGCATTAAAGTGGCCGCGGCACGAAATGGTCAGAGCAGTTTTTTGTTTCTCTCATTGTGGCTTCTCCTGCCTTCATGCACTCTTTAGGTCTTTCCTCCTCTTCCCCTGAGCTCCAGCGGCCCCAGCTTGGCTGATGTTACATTTTTACAGTTGCAAATTGGCTGATTTGTGTGAGAGAGTGACTCTTGGGACCGTCTATTCCGTCATCTTGACTGGAACTCCCAGTAACTTCTCTTTTTGGTGTACAGTTCTATGAGTTTTGACAAATGCATGCAACTGCATAACTACTACCACAATCAAGCTAGAGAACAGTTTTATCACCCCAAAATATTATCTTATAGTCAACCCCTTCCCTACCCTAGTCCCTGGCAACCACTGATCTGTCCTCTGACTCTAGAGTCTGCCTGTTCCAGAATGTCATATACAGGGAACCATACAGTATGCAGCCTTTTGGGTCTGGCTTCTTTTACTTAGCGTGATGTATTTAAAATTTATTCATGTTGTGCTTTGTATCAATAGTTCCTTTTCAATGCTGAGTAGTATGAATGGACTACAGTTTGTTTATCTATTCCCAGTTGGAGGACTTTGGGCTGTTTCTGCTATTTTGGGTAATTACAAATATGACTACTAAACATTCTCATACAGAATTGTATGAGATCACACATTTTCATTTCTCTTGGTAAACACTTGGGAGTGGAATGGATGGATTATATGGTAAGTGTATATTGAACTTCATAAGAAACTGCCAAACTGTTTTCCAGCATGGCTGTGCCGTTTTGCACCCCCATCAGCAATGTCTGAGAGTTTCGGTTGCTCCATATCCTTGCCATCATTTCATATTGTCTGGGGTTTTTTTGTTTTGTTTTATTTTGCTTTAATTTTATTATAGGGCACACTCACCTACTAGCTGAGGCTCCCCCAAATTGATACTAAACTCACAGGTCTGGCTGCCTGCTCCCAGACAAAAGCAAATCACTCAAGAGTCAAATGATGGGGAAAATGGAAGTCAGCTTTTATTCAGGAATGCCAGTGAGCTGAGGAGAGATGTGAGGCTCACCCATCTCTTTGTCGAACCTGAAGGAGAATGGCTAAACTAAAGCTATATCAAAAACTCAGATTTACTGGGGGGGTTTTAAAGAGGGGGATGAGTAAATGGAATGTGGGAAATGAAAAGCAAGACAGAGGGGCACATGCAAGGGGCCAGGTGCAGTCTCGCCAAGACTCTGTCTGGTTTCTGTTCCTGTCCTTGCTGTCATCTCATGGTCCTGCTGGAGGGGTGGGATCAGCATAGCTTTTCTGACGTCTTCCTTGGTTTCCCTTGGATAGTACACGTGAGTCTACAGCTTCAGGCTGGCCAGGAAACAACTTTATATTCATGTAAATAATGTCATCTTGCCCTAGAGATGACCAAGTTTCAAAATATCAAATAATCATGGGAAAAGAGGGAATTCAGAGAAATGCATGCCAAGAAAAAAAAACTGTGCTTTTTAAAATTTGCCTACAGCCCATGTGGTTTTAGATCCCAACATGGCTTCAGTCCTGCTCACTCCAACAATTTTAGCCATTCTAATAGGTGTGTAGTAGTCAAATTATAGGCTTTTTACCCTCATGAGGCATCTTAGAGGTTTTTTACTATTTAGAAATGCAGGGATGTTGATAATAACATTACAAGGAGGGCAGGAAATTATCACATAAGACAGAGTTAGAATTATAGCTTTTCTTTGAAGGCTGTTTTACAGGAGGTGGCACAAATTTCTAAAGCCTTAGCGGTTATCCCAGATCTAAGGGGTGCTTCAAAATATAAATCAATTCATATCTCAGAGCCCTTCCGTGGCTCCCCAGAAGGAAAGCCCAAGCACCTTAGTGTGGCTCACCAGGCCATGTGGGACTCCTGCCTCCTTCCCCTTCTCACTCACTCCCCAAACCTCAGGGCCTTTGCAAATGCAGTTTCCCCTGCCCAGAGTGCTCCTCTCTCTTCCCTCATCCCCTTTCTTCTGAATTATGCCAACTCATCCGTTCACTCTGATCTTGGATATCACTTCCTGAGAGACCCTTTTCCTGAGCCCCCACACAAGGTCAGGGTGCCCTGTTTTCTCTCCTGGTATCCTGTACTTTTGCTGCAGAGCACTTAAAGCCATTTGTAATTATTCTGTTTACTTGTGTGTTCAGCCAGGCCTTCATTTATTGCCCTTTTCAAAATTGCAAACCCCCTTCTCTGCTTTATTTTTTCCCTAGTACTTATCACTGTCTACCCCAACACTGTCCTATAAAACTGTGATGCCAGCCACATATGTCATTTTGAATTTTCTAATAGCCACATTAAAAAGGTAAAAAGAACTAGGCAAAATTAATTTTAATGATACATTTTATTGTGCAAACATATATATACACAATTCAATATAATACATCCAAAAATTATCATGTCAACATATAATCAATATAAAAAAAATTATTGAGATAGTTTAGATTCTTTTTTTACACTCCATTTTTAAAATCTAGTGTGAATTTTACACTTGTAGTACATCTCAGTTCTGACTAGCCACATTTCAAATGCTTTATTTCATAGAAAGATATATAGTATGTTTTGTGGCTAGAGATATATTTAATATACAAATAATATATTTTATTTAAGGTCTTTTTCCCACTAGCATTTAATCCCCATGAGGGCAGGGAGTTTTGTCTGTCTTGTTCACTACTGAACACAGCGGTGTCTAGATGGTTCAATAAAAAATAATAACAAACACTTGTGCCTGGCACAGTTGTATGCATTTTACATGTACATTTTTTGCATATATATGTATTTTTTTAAAAGATGACCGGTAAGGGGATCTCAACCCTTGGCTTGGTGTTGTCAGCACCACGCTCAGCCAGTGAGCAAAATGGCCATCCCTATATAGGATCCGAACCCGTGGCCTTGGTGTTATCAGCACCGCACTTTACCGAGTGAGCCACGGGCCGGCCCTTTGCATATATTTTTACATGAATATTTTACTCATTTAATCCTCATAATAACCTGGGGAGGAGATACTGTTATTATTCTCTCTTTATAGAAGAGGAAATTGAGTCCCAGAGAGGTTCAGCCACATGCTCAAGGTCACACAGCTTGTAAATGGCAGAGCTGGGATTTGAACCCCAGCTGTTGGCTGCAGAATCCTTGCTCTTAACCACAACATAGTACTGCTTGACTAGAAGATGTTTGCGTAATGAACAAATGAATAAACTCCATGTGGCATATGTGCATATATGTGAACCCAAATATGTGGAGCATGTGAGCATATCTGTTCCTGTATGCACTTGGGCATAGATGAGTGTGCCTGTTTGTGCTTCTGTGTACCGAGTGTGTGTACATGTGTGATTGTGTGTGCTTATGTTTTTCAAGGGAATAGGGGTGGTTTTGGACCAGCCTAAATTGGAATGTTTCCAGCCCAGGAAGGGTTTTGTGAGGCTGGGGAGGGGTCATACCTCTCAAAGAACTGATGGGAGAACCAGGCTCACCTGCATTCTGTCCTGTAGGGGGTTATGCAAATGAGATGCAAATTAGGGCCTGGTCCTCAGCCCCAGACCAGCTCTCCAAAAGCCAATTTGGCCGATGAACATTTGGATTGTCTTCACAGCCAGAGACTGTGGGAGGGGGGTGCAGGAGACATAAGAAGGATGTATTTATAAATCTGTTCCCTCGAATATGAAAAATGTCTATGAATAGACACTTCATAAATAAAATCATATTCATAAAAATATAACCCTATGAATTCTTCATATTTGGTAATGTAATGAAGAATATGTTAAAAATATATTTCTCATCAATGTATTTATAAGAATAGGATTATAAGTAAATATCTTTCAAGAGACTATTTAGTTCTTAAGGCTTTCACTCCTCCCTCTCTCTGCCCCTTGGTCTCCCCCTCTTTTTGCCCCTCAGTCTGCCCCTCTGTCCCTAGATCTTCTCCTCCCTCTGCCTCTTAGTGTCCCTGCCCCCCACCCCTCAATCTCCCTTCTCTCTACCCAGGCGGTGCTAAATGCCAGCTCTTTTTTCTGTCTTTCTTTCTACAGGGGGAGCTTGGGAAGTAACAAACTGAGCTTTCTTTTAAATGCTGTTGTGATAAAAAACAGTCAACAAAAATCAAATCCTTATAAGAAAGAAATAAATGTGGAGAATTATTTCCTGCAAAACATCTTCCTGTCCCTGGACGCAATTGCCTCTTGTAATAGGGCATCATCTGAGGGGGCTGCTGGGTCTGGACCAAGGACCCTCCCTGACTCCTACTCCCCTTTCTGCCTTGTATCCAGCCGGGTGGAAGAGACCGGAGTGGTGCTGTCCCTGGAGCAAACGGAGCGACACTCTCGCAGACCCATTCAGCCTTCTCAGAAGGACTCTCCTAATCCTGGGGACAACCTTGGTATGGGGGAGGGCTGGGGCCGGGAGGAGCCTTGTCTTCAGGACCCTTGGGAGAAAATCCAAGAGCCTTAACATGGCTCACCAGGCCCTATGGAAAGTGCCTCCTGCCTCCCTGTGTTTCTCACTCACTCTCCAAACCTCACCTGCTTTCTTAGAGCTCTTGGTACATGCCAGACTCTTTCATGCCTCAGGGCCTTTGCACATACCCTTTCCTCTGCCTAGGATGCTCTTCTCTCTTCCCTCCTCCCTCTTCTCCTGTGTCTGTGGGATGCTTGCTTCAGTCTCTTGTTGCCCTTTGCTCTGAACTTTCTATGGCTCCCCATTGCTTCCACCCTTCAGCTTCTTCCCTGTTCTCTCTTCACTCCTCTTTGGTTTCCAGCAATCTCGACCCTCCCAAGTCTGGCCCCTCCTTTCCCTTTTCTCCCTCCTCCACCTCATCCTGGACAAGCTTCTCTCCCTGTTTGTTCTTCAAGGCCTCACCTTCTCTAAGCTATTGCTGGCGGCCCATGCTCTTAGGTGTGGGATGGGGTTGCTGTTGTCCTTTCCTTTTCAGCCCTCTCTGAGCCATGTCTTAACTTCTGGGGACTTTAGAACCTCCTTGAGGGCTGTAGGCCATTCTTTTCCCCTAAGGTGCAAAACCCCCAGAGCTAAAAGGAAGATGCTGTTCTGGGCCACTATGCCCCTCCCCTAGAACCCTCCAGGGCCTCACACATCTACCAAATAAGTTAACACCTGGCCCAGCAGGGGTTCTCCAGGCTCCTTCTCTCCAGCACTAAGGATGGGGCCATCCTGTCTGGTTGTTGAAGACATGGACTCTGTTCCCTGGGGTTGGTGCAGAGGGCTTTGGCCCTCAGCCCTAGATGACTGCCCTGTTTCTTCCCCCTCTCCGTGTGTCCTGCAGATGCCCCTGGGCCCCGGATTCTTGCCTTCCTGCACCCCCCCGCCCTGAGCGAGGCCGCCCTGGCTGCAGACCCCCGCCGTTTCTGTAGCCCTGACCTCCGTCACCTTCTAGCGCCCATCCTGGATGGGGCTCCAGCAGCCACCACCCCCAGCACACTGCCAGCTGCACGGTGCCCCCAAAGTCCCCTTCCGGTAAGCAGTCCCACCTGCTTGAGCCCTCAGGACCCAGGAGGCCTTAGCCTTTGGCTTAAACCTTGCTGTTCTCTGGGCCTCGGTTTCTCCATCTGTGTAGTGGGAAGGTTGGGATGAGTTGGGGTTCCTTTAAGACCTAGATTCCAGATTCTTCAATTGTTAGAATTCCTGAGTCTGGCTTCTAAATATTCCCACCTGGAATATTTAGAATTGATATGGGGCACTTCCCCTCCCATCCCCCTGGCTGGTGACCAAGCATCCAGGCACTCTGAACTTTGACATCAAAGAGTTAGAATATGTAGTGTCCTAGGGCCAGACGGTGGCTCAGGGAGAGTGTGGTGCTGATAACACCAAGGCCACGGGTTCGAATTTGTATTAGTCTGTTTATGTTGCTCATAACAAAATACCCGAGACTGGGTGATTTATAAAGAAAATGAAATTTATTGCTTACACTTTCTGAGGCTGGGAATTCCAAAGTCCATCTGGTAGTGGTGACAGTGACCCAGGGATCTCACATTGCAAGAAGGAGAGAGCAGAGAGAGAGAAAGACAGACAGACTCTCTTAAAGCCCTCAGAACCATGTCCTGACCACCATTTTTAATCCATTCACTACTGCACAGTCCTGCAATCCAATCACCTCTTCAAGGCTCCATCTTTCACTTACCATAATAGGATCTCCCACCCTGTTAACAGTTACAGTGGGGGCTAAGTTTCTAATACATAAAGCTTGGGGAGCACAATTCAAGCTTCAATGAGTTTTGGGGGGACATAATTCAATCCACTGCAGGATCCCTATATAGGGATGGCGGGTTGCTCACTGGGAGAGCGTGGTGCTGACAACACCAAGTCAAGGGTTAAGATCCCCTTACCGGTCATCTTTAAAAAAAAAAAGAATGTGTAGTGTCTTGATTTATACAGAGCTGGATTAAGATCCTAAATCTGCCACTTATTAGCTATGTTGCCCAGGGCAAGTGAGTTCCTGAGGCCTTAGTTTCTTCACTTGTGAAGTGAGGATAATCTCAAGTAACGTCATTGGTCATTGTGAGGGTTAAATGAGATCATTCATGGGAAGCACTTAGTAGTGGCCAAGCACCTAGCAGGTGCTCAGTAAACCTTGGCAGCTAGGGCTGAGCCCGTGGCGCACTCGGGAGAGTGCGGCGCTGGGAGCGCAGCAGCGCGGGTTCGGATCCTATATAGGGATGACCGGTGCGCTCACAGCGCTCAGTGGCTGAGTGCGGTGTGGCCGGTCTCAAAAAGGACAAAAAATAAAAAAATAAACCTTGGCAGCTACCATTTTTACTTACAGCGCACCTTTGACCTCAGTGGGTACATATTGTCTGGTGTTAGCCCTCCTTATCCCCACCCTTCACCCCAAGAAAATATCTTCACCTGAGAAATATAGACTGTGACCTTTGATTTCACCCTTTGCCTCTGGGACAGCTGGACTCTGCATTACTTTCCCCTCAGACTATTTGACTCCAAGATCTTTGACCCCAGAGGGCCTGAATATGTTGGCCTCAGGCTCTGGTCTTTCCAACAGTCAGTGTTTGCCTTGTCAAAATCCAGGCACTCTGGGGCCGGCCCGTGGCTCACTCGGGAGAGTGCGGTGCTGATAACACCAAGGCCCCGGGTTCGGATCCCACATAGGGATGGCCGGTTAGCTCGCTGGCTGAGCGTGGTGCTGACAACACCAAGTCAATTCCTTTTTCATAAAAGGTCACATGTATTTTCAGATGAGTAGCTTTCTCAACCTGCTTCCTGCTTATAGAATTTTGGTGGTCCAAGGTCCTCTTTTCATTTTGTGCCATCTCTGTCCGTTTCAGTCCAAGCCGGCAATGTTTCTGTGCATATAATTCTCTTTAGACAACTTTGTTGGTCTCATGTGAATCTCTTTAGAGTTTGCTCCATTAGACAAAAGCCACACCCACAAGTCACTTCAAGATAAGCCCTTCTCTACCTGAGCTTCTGCTGAGATGGCTGAGTGACAGTGCCCTTAAGTTTAATAGAAGCCCTTTTGTTTGATTGGGAACATCTATTAGGCATACCCTTAAACTCCTTAGAGTGCTGTATTAGTCCATTTCTGTTGCTTATAACAAAATACACAGAACTGGGTATTTTATGAAGAAAGTGAGATTTATTGCTTAAATTTCTGAGGCTGGGAAGTCCAAAGTCTAGGGAACACAGCTAGTGAAGGTCTTGGTGGTGGCGACAGTGATGGCAGGATATCACATTGCAAAAATGGCGGAGCAGAGACAGCAGGAAACTCTTCCTACACCCCTTTTCTTTTCTTTTTTTTAAAGACGACCGGTAAGGGGATCTTATCCCTTGACTTGGTGTTGTCAGCACCGCGCTCTCCCAAGTGAGCCACGGGCTAGTCCTCCTGCTCCACTTTTAAAGCCCTCAAAACCACAGCCCTGACCACCATTATTAATCTGTTTTCTGCAGCATTGTTCTACAATCTAATCATTTCTTCAAGGCCCCACCTTTCAATTACCATAATAGGATTTCCTACCCTAAGCAGTTACAGTGGGAATTAAGTTTTGGGGGGACATTCAACGCAAGGCAAGCGTGTTTTGTCTGACTGCAAGATAGTCTGAGGCACGATCTTTGGTCTTTCTGAAGTCTTAACAAAGAGTTTTACAGTCACACCCCGAACTTCTTTAGCATATGTGTTCCTGAGACTGCCTTCTTTGCTCAGAAACAATTTCCTAATTTTAGCATCATTTGCTGTCTGGGGAGTTCTTACAGTCAACCAAACTCAAGGTTAAAGGTACAGTCTTCCAGACTTCCAAGTCTGCCCAAGATTTCTTTTCTTTTTTTTTTTTTTTCTTTAAAGATGACCGGTAAGGGGATCTCAACCCTTAGCCTGGTGTTGTCAGCACCACGCTCAGTTTTTTTTTTTTTTCTTTAAAGATGACCGGTAAGGGGATCTCAACCCTTAGCCCGGTGTTGTCAGCACCACGCTCAGCCAGTGAGCGAACCGGCCATCCCCATGTGGGATCCGAACCCGGGGCCTTGGTGTTATCAGCACCGCACTCTCCCGAGTGAGCCACGGGCCGGCCCCTGCCCAAGATTTCTGACATCATCTGTAAGTTTGGGGGTCTCCAGGGCACCACTCACTTTAGACCAGTCGGAGATTCCCACAGGCTCGCTCACAGATTTGATAATTTGCTAGAAGTATTCATAGTACAGATGCTCCCCAACACACAATGCTCCAGTAAACCCATCATAAGTTGAAAATATCATAAGTCAAAAATGCGTTGAATACGCCTAACCTACCAAATGTCATAGCTTAGCCTAGCCAACCTTAAACATGCTCAGAGCACTTACATTAGCCTACAGTTGGACAAAATCATTTTACACAAAGCCTGTTTTATAATAAAGTATTGAATATCTCATGTAATTTATTGAATACTATACTTACTGAAGTACAGTTTCTACTGAGTGCATATAGCTTTTGTACCACCATAAAGTTGAAAAATAGTAAGTCAAGCCATTATAACTTGAGGGCCATCTGTACTCAGGAAAGCACTATGCTTGCAATTGTATTCTATTATAGCAAAAAAAACACAAATCAGAACCAGCCAAAGGAAAAGATGAATAGGGTGAAATCTGGGACTGGGAGAGTCCCAAATGGAAAGCTTTCATGTCCTCAGGGACTTGTTACCCTCCCAGTATTGATATGTGGCAATATGCATGTGGAATGTTGTTAGCCCAGGAAGCTTACCCAAGCTTCGGTGTCCAGAGTTTTTATTGACGTTTCATTATATACTCATGATTAATTGAGTTATTGCCCACAAAATTGAATTCAATCTGTAGTGCCACCCCCACCTTCACTGAAGGTCAGAGCTGATTTTATGTGACCCAAAGCCTCAACCTTTCAATCACATGATTGGTCTTTCTGGCATGGCTAGCCCGCATCCTGAGTTATCTTATTAGCATAAATTATCTAGGGGCCCACCTTGAGTCACCTCATTAACATAAACTGAAAGAGACCCACAATGAATAGCAAAGACACTGCTATCACTTAGGAAATTCCAAAGGTTTAGAGATGACCTCCCAGGAGCTGAGAGAAAGGACAGACCTCTTTTTGGGTAAAGCTATCTCTTCACTACATAGGGAGGTTGAGAATTTTCAAAACCTGAAAGTTCTAGCTCTTTCATGTTTAACATTTCTTCCTTTAGCTTGTCTCTCTCCTCTTGACTTTTACTATAAATAGCAAGAAGAAATCATATAGCCCCTTCAACACTCTGGTTGGAAATCTCCTTAGCCGACTCACCTAGTTCATTAGATACATTTTCTACTTTTCACATAACTGCAGGCAATAGTGTTGCTAAACTTTCAGCCACTGTACAACAAAAATCCCTTTCTTCTGGTTTGCAATAACATGTTCCTCACATCCCTTTAAGCCCTAACTAGCAGCCTCGTCAAGGTTCAGATTTTGACTAATAATTTTGTCAAGGTATTTTAGGCTTTCTCTAATATGCTCTTTAAAGTCCTCCCAGCCCCTGCCCAGTGCCCAGTTCCAAAGCTACACCCATATATTAGATTTTTGTTACAGCAGCACCCCATTTTTGGTCCCCAAATCTCATTAGTATCTATTTCTGGATAATCAATTACCCTCAAATTTAGCAGATTAAAACATCAAGCATTCGTTCATTCATCCATTATTTATTTATTTGGAGGGGGGCAGCTGGCTGGTACAGGGATTGAACCCTGGACCTTGGTGTTGTCAGCTCCACACTCTAACCAACTGAGCTAACCGGCCAGTCCTCTCAAGCATTTATTACCTCAAATCATTTCTGTGGGTCAGGGATCCAGGAACCATTTAGCTGGGTGGCTTTTGTTCAGGGTCTCTGATAAGGTTATAGTCATCTGAAGGCTTGGCTGGGACTGGAGGATCCACTTCCGAGAGCATTCCTAGGCTGTTGGCAAGACATCTCAGTTTCTTGCCATGTGTTCCCCTCCATAGGGCTGCTCAGACATGGCTTCCTCCAGAGCAAGCGATCTGAGAGAGAGAGAGAGCAATAAAAACAGAGTGTCTTTTATAACCTAATGTTGGAAGTCACATAGCGTCATCTCCACAATATCCTACTGTCACCCAGGTCAGCCTAGTCACTGTGGTAGGAGACATGAATACCAGTAGGGTGTGAATACCAGGAAGGGAGGATGCTTGGGGGCCACCTTGGTGACTACCACAGACTTCTTATGCCCATTTTGTGGATGAGGAAACTGAAGCTCAGACTCTTGGCCTCAGGCATATAACCCAGAAGTGGTGGACCTGGGACTCCAGCCCAGGCCCACCCGAGACCGAGGTTCATGCTCTTACCCCCCCCCTGCCCTCGCAGGATGTCGATGCTCTGGATTTGGAGATGCTTGCCCCCTACATCTCCATGGATGATGACTTCCAGCTCAACTCCGGCGAGCAGCTACCCAGGGTCTACCACAGACCTCCAAGGGCTGTCCCCCGGCCCCGCGCCCGGAGCTTCCATGGCCTATCACCCCCACCCCCTGAACCCTTCCTGCTGCCCCGCTGGGGGAGCGACCCCAGGCTGAGCTGCTCCAGCCCTTCCAGAGGAGACCCTTCAGCATCCTCCTCAGTGGCTGGGTCTCGGAAGAGGTGAGCCACAGTAAAGGGGGTATGTAAAGGGGTACAGGGAAAGTCCCCGCTCGTCTGTCTCGCCCTTGCCTCCTACCTTGCCTGCCTCCCTCACCATTCCTCCTAAGCTGACCTCCCCTGCACTAGGCCTGCAGCGTGCCCCGCACATGCCAGACTTGCTCCAACCTCTATGCCTTTGCCTAGACTGTGCCCCCCTTCTGGAGTGCTCTCCACTGCTCTCACTGTTCTTCCAAATCCCACTAGTCAATCAGGGCTCTCTCCTTTGGAACATATTGACATCTGGCCTATCCTAGTGACAAGTTTTGTCATAGTTAAGAAGACTTTGCCACAGTGTCAGAGAAACTATGTAGAACTAAGTTTCCTAACACCTTTGAGAATCGGATGAAAGCTATGGGCTCTTTTCCAGGAAAAGGTACACACACACTCACACAATTTTGTATATAATTTCAGAGGGTCTATGTCATCCTTCCAAAGACATTAGATCACTAATACTCAAGTTTTTTCTCTCCAAGTTGCAGGCATGTGCCCATTTAGTATCCAGAGTGGTCTCTTTATTATCCTTATGAAGCTTTTATGGATACATGTTGGTATCTCCTAAGGCTCCCAGTTGGGGGCTTGGTATACAGTGGGTGCCTAATAAATGTGTACTAAATGAGGGAGGGAGGAAATTAATGAATACAGTGAGTAGGGGGGTGGATGGCTGGGTGGATTGATGTGTAGCTGGATGGGTGGCAAGTGGGTAGATAGATAGGTGGATGAATAAAAGGAGAGATGGATGGAGTGGGTGGGTGATGGGTCACTGGATAATGAATGGGAAGATGGATTGATGGGTAGATGGGTGGATCGGTGGGTGTATGAATAGAGGAGTAAATCGGTGCTTGGGGGAACGCTCATCAAGCATGCTCTTCACATGCTTACACTGGTGCCCATGCCTGCTCAGGTTTGCTGTGTTCTGAGATTCTTGCCTGTTTTTCTCCAGGGCCCTGGCCCAGAGCTCAGAGGACGAGGCAGAGGGGGTAGAACTGCTGGGAGTGAGACCCCCCAAACGATCCGCCAGCCCAGAGCCTGAAAGCTTCCTGCTGTTTCCCCTCAGCCTGGTATGTCTGAAGATTAGTGGAATTCTCTGGCCCTAAAAACCTAGCAGGCTTAAGCCTCCTGTTTTAATGATGGGAAAACCAGAGAGGAGCAGGGGCTGGCTGGAGGTCATACAGAAGGTCAGTGCTCCAGCTGAGGCTAGGACATTGAGTTTCTAGTTCCACTAATAGATATGAAAGGGCTTGGCAAATATGTGTGAGTTGGGGATGAGTTCTAAGAATAAAAATTAGGGTAAGGGGAGAAATGGCAGGTGGTGGTAGGAATCTGTAGGAATCTTCTCTGCTTCCATGGGATCCCCTCCCAAAACTAGAACAGGTCTTGGCCTTGAATGACTAATGTAGAGCTAAGAGTACAGACACTCGAATCAGATTGACTTGGGTTCAAGTCCCAGGTCTGCCACCTAGTAACTGTGAAAACTTGGGCAGGTGATTTCACCATTCTAATCCTCAGTTTCCACATCTGGAAAGTGGGAATAGTTACATCCCACAGGACTGCCGTAAGGATTCAGTGAAATCGGGCCTTTAGTTGACACTCAGTGTGCTGTCGATAAATGCTGTACAAAAAACCAAAGCTGCCTCCCTCCAGTCCTTGCCTCTAGTCTTGCCCCTAATGTCCATTCTGCACAACAGTAACCAGAACAACCTTCCTTTTTTTTTTTTTTTTCCTTTTTGTCTTTTTTCGTGTCCGGCAACGGATCGCAACCCTCAGTGTCGCCCCCGTACCGGACTGGGACCGGCAACGGGATCGCACAACCCTCAGTGCTGCACCCGCACCTCGCTCAGCCAGTGAGCGGGACCCAGTCTGTATGTGGGATCCGAACCCTCGGCAAACCCTCAGTGCTGCACCCGCACCTCGCTCAGCCAGTGAGCGGGACCCGGTCTGTATGTGGGATCCGAACCCTCGGCGGGAGCGCCGCCGCGCTCCCAAGCAGCGCACTGCAGCAGCGCGCCACCGGGCTGGCCCAAGAACACCCTTCCTAAAAGCCAGCCTAGACCATGTCACTTCCACAAGGCTCCCTCTAGGACCTTTCATGGCTCCCTGGTGCCCGCAGACATGCCCTTGCTCCTCACTCTGCAAAGGACTGTTTGAACATGAGGGATGTGGTTGATAACATCAATAGCTTACATTTATTAAGTGCCGGCACTGCCTTGCATGACCAATTTATTTAATCCCCATAAATCCTCTTGAAATATATTTGTTATTAGTATACACATTTGCACAGGAGAGGTTAAGCAGAGTATCAGAATCTGGGCAGGAAAGGGTACACTCAAATTGGGTGTTAAGGGCCGGCCCGTGGCTCACTCGGGAGAGTGCGGTGCTGATAACACCAAGGCCCCGGGTTCGGATCCTACATAGGGATGGCCGGTTCGCTCACTGGCTGAGCGTGGTGCTGACAACACCAAGCCAAGGGTTAAGATCCCCTTACCGGTCATCTTTTAAAAAAAAAAAAAAAAAAAATTGGGTGTTAAGGAGAATCAAATAACAGGACGGTTGACAAAGGTGTGGGCAGGGTGTAGGGAAATTAACAAGGTGCTGAACCCAGGAACTAGCAACATGGGGAGCCAGCATCAGCCCTAGCCTAAAGTTACAGGACAAAGGTGGTCACTGGATCCAGATCCAGAGAGAGTGGGGTCCACCTGATAAGAGCTAAAATCTTCCATGGCGGGACACAGCCTACCCACCATGACCCAGCACGGAAGCAGCTAGAAGAATAAACGCCCCATCATTAGGAACACACAGAGCAAGGTTGCACGGTGATGCAATCTGTGCACACAGGTCAGCCTCCCAGGGTACAGAAGAAGGGGAAGAATGGAGAATGAGGCTCTGGAGGAACATATGGAGGATGTCTGGGACAGTGTCTTGCCCAAAATCACACAGCTGATAAGTAGCTGCTGGACAGTGCCCTTAACCACTGCACCATCCTGCCTCTTTGGATGATGATGATGATGATGATGATGATGATGGCTTTGTCTCTCTCCTACAGAGTTTCCTTCTGACAGGAGGACCAACCCCAGGGAGCCAGCAGGATCCCAGCACCCACCTCCTGGACCTGAATGAGCCCCTGGGTGAGCAGTAACCTCAGTGTAGAGAAGCCCTGGGTCCCCTTCCCCTGGGAGGTTATGAGAGAGATAGAGCCATCCCGAAGGTGGTGGGGGACTGTCAGTGCCCAAAGGTGACATTGATGGAAACAGGACGCCCCTCCCTCGTCTCATGGGAACTGTGGGGGAAGTGGGGGGAGAGACCCTAAAGGAAGCAGAGGCTTGCTAGAGAGAGATAGAGCCATCCCGAAGGTGGTGGGGGACTGTCAGTGCCCAAAGGTGACCTTGATGGAAACAGGACGCCCCTCCTTCGTCTCATGGGAACTGTGGGGGAAGTGGGGGGAGAGACCCTAAAGGAAGCAGAGGCTTGCTAAGGCTGCCCCTTGGGGTGGAAGCCAAGCCCAGGCCCGAGTCTAGGTCTCCTGAACCTAAGTATGATTATGCTTTCGAGCCTGACCAAATTGGGGTTGAGTCTTGTCTTGGGCATTCCCAGCCGTGTGGCTTTGGGAACGTTTCTCCTGAAACTTCAGTTTCCCCCCTCTGTCCATTAGGGCCTATTGTTATAATTCTTACCTTAAGGAGATGTTTCGAGGACTCATGGAGATGCTGCACCGGAAGAGCTTAGCACAAGACCTGCTATGTAGTAAGTGCACAAAAAATGTCCGCCCTTGTGGCCATGGTGGTGATGCTGGTTCCAACCCCAGCCTCTCCACAGAGCTCAAGACAAGCTGCTGTGCTTGTTTGTGTATTATTATCATCTTCCAGTGCAACTATCAAAAGCCATGGCTCCACTTGAAACCTCCAGGCATCAGCCAAAGGGATCTTTCTAAAGCACAAATCTGACCCTGTCCTTCCATGGCTCCCTAATATCCTTCAGAGAAAGATCAAGCTTTTCACTGTGAACTCAAGTACCTGCAGGGTCTGGCTGCTGCCTCATCTCAGACCACACTCTGCTTCAAACCCTCTGTTTCAGCCACAGCCACTGTCTTTCAGTTTATTCCTTCCTTCATACATGCAACAAATATTTATGGAACATACAGTAAGTGACAGGCACTGTTCTAGGTGCTGAAGACACCGAGGAACAAAACACAGAAATCCCTGCCCTTATGCAGCTGATGTTTTAGTGAGGGAGAAAGAACATAACAAAGAAACAAGTACAATAAAGTGCACAAAAGATGAACATGTCGGCGGGGAGGGGTGGAAATGTACACAAGGGAAGAAAGTTCCAGGGTGGGGGGATTGTTTTAAACAGCATGATCAGGGTGGCCTCCTTAAGAAGGTGATAGTTTAGCAAAGACCTGAAGGAGTGGGCCCTG